AAAAATAAAAAGTGAGTTTGTCAGTTCCGGCGCACAACTGAAGTTCACTCCTTACGAACGATTATAAAATTTATAGATTAGTAAATGTGGGTAAATGAACGCATTTTTATACTACTAAAAGCATGCATGACACATTTACTTATAATAATTATTTAATGTATATTCATCAAAATATATTACAAAATCATCGAAATTGTTTACGCTTCCAATACTATGTTATGTAGTCATGGAAACATGAATACAGCGTCCACCGAGATCACATTCGCATGAGTCCGTACCGTATTTAACAATAGACACTCGCCTGCCTTGTACTCTTGTATAAGTATTTGGTTGAACTAGTCCGAGTCCCGACTAGTCTCGTACTAGTATTTGGTTGAACTAGTCCGAGTCCCGACTAGTCTCGAGTCTCGAGTATTGACAAACAAAGATGGAAAGACTACGGAATATTCTAGTTAAAAAAGGACAGAATATATTATTACACAACAAACACGAGTGCGCGTCACGTTACCTTTATGTTCATTAAAATTTGGTTCAAATTCAAATGACTGACAAACTAATGATTTAGGCAAAGACGACCCGAGTTGAGCGCCTAGTACCTAACTACAGTCTACGACAACAAAATACAAGTACGACGCGTAGGCACAGTGAGACTAGATGGATCAAGTATTTTAAAAGTTGGAATAGGTGCAACCTAGTCTCGTTAAATACTTAGTCCCTGGATCTGTTCTAGTATATACGCTTCATCTCTACCAATGAAATTGATAATTGCAATTTTAAGTGCTGATTTACCACGTGCTCGGCGGTGACCATATCAATATTAAAAATTCAGAATAGACTAAAATCTAATAGATTGCCTATATGATAATAAAGACTAGAATCTAATAGATTGACTTGGGCCATCTCATGGAAACACAATGTATTTCACAAGTAATACATATTATATTAAATTCATCTGCATAGTGCGATTGCCAAGTCAATCTATTTACTTAAAACCTAAAAGATTCTTAAATTTGATATGGTCATAATAAGACGTTGTTATTTTAGCTGATTACGCAATAACTTAAGGCAGAAGGACTCTTAAGTAGGGACTGAATAAATTAACCAACTTGGTATATGATATTGTAGTACCTCAGTGGATCTCACAACCTTTTACGATAGAAGAACTGAGTTCCGGGACTTGTTTTTTTTTACAAGTTATGTTTTTGATGGCATCTCATTTCTCTTGCAGATATTCCTACTTTTTTTGCCTTCCGGTACCTTCAACTTCTTTATTACCACCAAAGTACCTATCTACACCTCTACACTTTACTCCATTATCTTATACATATACAGGTACACTGATTCATTCACTGCAAATGTAACTCTGTAATCCTATATATTCATATAGGATTACGAAGTTATTTATGCTGTTAGTGTATCTAGAAAACTGCACCGAAATTGAAAAATATTTTAGTTTTTCCTTGATTTATACACTAAACACTAATTGTGTTCTAAGTTTGAAGCTTCTATGTCTGCTAGACCTAGAAGTGCCTTACAGTTTTGATGATGGGTCAGTCAGTGAGTGACAAAATTAAGAAACTTTGACTAATTATAATTCCTAAACTACTGGTTCAAATTGAATGAAATTTAAAATATACCGTGTCTATACAATGCTTGCTTGGTTTTTGAAAATCAGTTTTCTAGTACTATCCACAATGAAGTTATAGGGTGTTGAAAAAGACCTGACCTGACCTGAATTGCTTCGAGAAAAATACGGTACGACCGTGCCGCTTTTTTGCTCTACTTAGCGGAGGCACTGCTGTGCCCCAAGATTCTTGGAGAAAAAACAGTCCATCCCTGTTCCTTAGGCAATAAAGGGGCTGATCCAGTGTTGTCGTACGCTTTTACGTCAATTTCGGCGGTGGCGTAAAAGTAGGGCTAACAACAGACGTCCTTTATGATCCATTTTTATCAACAGTCCGTCCAACGCTACTGGGGCGCCGGCGCTGCTGCGACGCAACAACGTTGTTATAATGTTGTTTTTGATTTTTATCTACCGTTTGAGGGGTAAAGATAAATCTATTCAGCGGGCTTAAGAACTAGCTAGAATGATATTATTTTTATATAGGGTGGGGTGACAAACGAGCACACAGTCCACCTGATGGTCAGTGGTTGCTGTGGCCCATAGACATCTACATTTATCCTCGATTACAAATCAAAATGCGGATGCGTTGTCACCCGTGAGGACTAAGATGAAATGCCCCGTTTCCAGTAAAAAGGGTCTTCGGTTCTCTACACTCACCATACGAAACACAGCAGCATTAAGCTACTATTTTACGCTGGTATTCTGTGAGAGCGTGGTCCTTCCCCGGTGGAGCCGACCCATTCGTGCTACAAATATACCACTAATATAACTGAAGCATGGCTCTACCACGTAGCCCCGTATATATTGCCACGTAGCCACGTAGTAGTAGATGGTGTGGCGATGGGCTCACCTGTATCTCCCATTGTCGCCGACATATTCATGGAAGACTTTGAGGAGAAAGCCCTGCTTAGTCCTCCCATAAATCCAAGGTTCTACAAGCGGTACGTAGACGACACTTTCACAATTCTACCTTTAGATAAAGTAACTGCATTTTTAGACCATCTTAACTCTATAAATTCTAAAATTCAGTTCACAATGGAGTTAGAGGCAAACAATTCCTTAGCTTTTCTAGATGTGTTAGTAATTCGGAATCCTGATAACACCTTGAGCCATACTGTGTATAGAAAAAAGACCCATACAGATAGATATTTAAACGGTGATTCTCACCACCATCCTTCACAGTTAGCTACCGTGGGTAAATCTTTGTTTCAGAGAGCACGAGGGATCTGTGACAGTAAACACCTGGCTGCAGAGCTCCACCATGTCAAGCAAGTTTTGCATGACAACAAGCTTCGAGTCCCGCGCCTACGTCACAGTGAACGAGTGAAGCCGACCACAGTCGAGCGTGTACCTGCTGTACTGCCATATGTTAGAGGAGTCACTGACAAGATTGGCTACATCTTGAAGCGCGCTTCCATCAAAACATACTTCAAGCCGCTGAAGAAGATTGGTCAGTTTTTACCATCAGTCAAGTGTAATGTCCCTCTGCAAGATGCAGGAGTGTACAAGCTTGATTGTGAATGTGGTCTCTCCTACATAGGACAAACTAAAAGATAAATAAAAACCCGCGTTAAAGAACATATAGCTGATGTGAAGAATCGACGCTCCGGGAAGTCTGCAGTCTGTGAACACGTACAGGATCGCCCCCGTCACTACATCAGATTTGATAGACCGCAGATCCTCGCTAAAGAACACCGATTCCTTCCAAGGATGATTCGCGAGGCTATTGAAATCAAAAAACATCCTAATTTCAATAGAGAAGATGGCTGGGTGCTACCATCTGCTTGGGATCCTATAATAAATAAAATTAAATCCCAACCCAAGCATACAACTGCAAGACTTCAAGATACCATAAGTTCATACTGCATAGATCGGAACAAAAGTTAAATTTTAATCTATGGTAACCGCGGTTAACTATGACATATGGACGTTGAACATCTCAGTCCTGCCCGTGACCATGAGTGCTGCAAAGCGTTCGAAACGTCGGGTATTTAAAAAGTTAAAATATACGCGATAAATTCCGTAAAAACTAGTATTATTTCAAGATTTATTTGTGTTAGGAACTCTATAAATACATATCACAATCATGTTATGGCCACATATTTCTACAGCACAGGTCTCTATCATACAATTAATCGAGAATTTCTTAATATTATCAACTACTCTATATTTTAATCCATTTCTTACTAAAATACATGATCCACCACGTCTTTTATTTCTTGAAAAACTGGTTGCTAATGTGAAATTAGGTATTGTAAGGAATTCTTCCAATTCTGGTATCATATTGTGCTCGGTCACACATAGAATGTCGATAGGTTTTTTTTGTCTGTCTAACTCATCCAGATTTAATACTAACTCATCACATTTGTTCAATAGTCCCGATATGTTTTGATGTAATATATGTAAGTGATTATAGAAGAAAAAACTGATTCTCATTAGGGATAATAGAGCTCTCTTTTCTTGTGTCGATTTGTTTCTCATCACTCGATTTTTGTAGAGTTAATATTTGTTTGGCAATATTTTGCATTAAATTTTGTACTCCATTTTGTTTTATTTTACCAGTATACTGTGAAAACATATCATATGTTAAGTCCAGGTTTGAATCAATGTAATAGCCATATTTATTAGTGTTTATGTCCCAATTAAGTAGGTAATTGAAAGTCTCTACTCTGTAGTTATATAATGGCTTTCCACGTATGTATGTTGGTGAAACTACGATTACGTTTGTATTTTTTACTTGTTCCAGCCTGGTTTTGATTGTTTTCACCAGACCTTTATAGTCTTCTGAGGTATTAAAATCCGATTCTCCGATTATCACAACACAGTAGTCATGTTTTGTATAGTCCTTTAATTTTTTATGAATATTTTTTAAAATTATCTCTATCCCAACATTTGTAGTAATAAAGTGACATAACTCATACTGACTGAGAACATGATTTCTGTTTACATTTTGTAGTATTTTATATCTCTTGTCACTTGTGAGTATACACAATTTGTGTTTTAATGGTTTATGTAATGATTTAGTATCTTTATGTACATGATTTTTTGTGCAATTATTTGGTTCTAAATCAGTTTTTGGTGTTGTTTTGTCTTTCAATTGCTTTTCAATTGATTTTTGTGCATAGATTTCTTACTTCTTCTTGAACTAATTTCAGGTTTTGTTGTAATTTTACGATTGTATTTTCCAAAACAAAAATTTGCTCTGTCTTTGTCTTATCTGGAGTCATATTATTAGGAAAACTTGAGGACAAACTCTTGCGCTGTTTTTTTTACAATTTGTGGGGTTTTACATATATTTTTCATAATAAGTAGCTCTTGTGTCAATTTGGTGACTTGTCGTCGTAATTCATTATTTTCCAAAATTGTTCCGTCTAATTCAGACTCGCAACTCTTTAATTTGTAAGTCATCTATTTTCGTATTTTGTTTGCTCACAATATCAAGTTCATTTACTAATTCTAAACTGTGTGATAAATCTTCTAAGGATTGGAAACTATTGTTTAATGATTCAACAGGCAATTCCATCGATAGTGATTTTGCTAATAATTTTTCTTTAGGTAGTAGTGTCTGGCCAGTTTTTGCTGAGCTGTTTGGAGATTCTGAGTCAAAAGCATTCATATCGTTACTTTCAAGGGTTTCATCAGTCCTTTTTTTGCGTATTGTGATATTTACCGCATCTTTTTCTAGGGAGGAGAGAGGACTGTATTTTTTTTTACTTTTTATGCATTTAAAACATCTCCATGATTTTTTAGTCTCATTTGTCCATATTCTAAAACGAGCGAAAGTTATGTTTGCACAGTCAATATGGTAGATATTATTACAAACTGAACAAATTGTGAACTGTCGATTTTCTATTATTGATTTACATTTGAAACAACATTTCTTTAAAGGAGTTTGTTGTTTTTGCTCCATGTTTGTATTTATGTTAGAAAATTAAAGACAAAAATATTTTTGTATGTCTCGAGGCTCGATCCTCCGTCCTATCGGTGTCTAATCAACTCACTTGTACCGTTCGACCAAGCGTGCTCATTAATTAATAGCAATTGAAATTAAGCATTATATTCCACTTCTTTCGCATACTCGTGGGTAGATGAAATTTGATGATAATGTAGTTTGATAGATGGCGTTGTAATCACCAACTATATAAAAACGACCATAAGTTGTAGAATCGAATGTACAAATTTGTTTGCACTTAATCACAATATTTGAATAAAATTAACCGTCAGATTAATACTTTTCATGTTAAGCGAATAATAAAGAAATATCTTCACTTTTTGCACAAGAACATTGTAGTTTGGAACAAAATCATAGTATTTTTAGTCTTCTTTGGTTGTTGTAATATAAATTATGTCCATATTTAATGTCACAAATTCACCGTCACTTTTTGTTAATTAATTCACAAAACACTTTGTATTTACCGAAGATAACATTTATACGATTTGTTCCAGTCGAAACACACACACCAATATTACTTTCTTAACTAGAATTTAACTATATTGTTTTTTGTTAATTAATTACTACGGAGCTTATGTTTACACACTGGCAGCGCCATAACATTATTCAAAATATTCCTTCCATCTCTTTAAACTCAAAACTTCATCATTTAGAATATAGCCATTCTCGTCTCTTATAGCATTCATCGTAGGCTGTTTTGAATGTCCCCTGGCAGTTCTTACAAGTTTCCAGAACATTTTAATATTTGCCTGGAAGTTATCCGATATTCTTCTATCATTCTTATCCGTTCTTTCTTTCAACTACTTCTTTTACTCTCTTATTAAGATGTCTAAAGACCGCCTTTTTTTCAATATCATCATTCGTACCGCTAGAATTACCAGCCTTTGTTGCTAGTAAATCTAGCCATGCTCTCTTCTTTGCTTCAACTTTCATATGTATCTCATCATCTCACCATAACATATTATTTTTCCTTTCATTCTTTCTCTTACTTACACCACATACTTCGGTAGCTGCATGCACTAAACCTTTCTTTACATTTTGCCATACATTCTCTAAGTCTAACTCCTTCATACATAATTCATCCAAACCACTTATATTTTCTTTCAGTCTACATTAGAACTTGTTTCTCTCACCTTCATCTTGCAACCTTTCTGTTCTAATACACTGTAACGCAGTGGTAGACACAGATGACCGATGTCGCCAACGCCTGAATAGAACATTAATTCGGCATAAAACCAAATAATGATCCGTTCCTACGTTAGAACCCCGGTAAACCCTTGTATCCACCACTGCGCCCCTCAATCTTTCATTCACAATTATGAAATCTATCATGCTTCTATCGTCACCTCTATCCCAAGTATACATATGAATCCTCTTGTGGCGAGAGCAAGTGTTCGTCACAAAAAGATTCTTTTCCATACATACGGTGAGGAGACTTTCACCATTCTCATTTATACTTTCATCACCAAACGTTCCCAATATCCTTTCATAACCAAGCCTCCTCACCCCAACCCTTCCATTAAAATCTCCTAGCATAATAATATTTTCATTTCCCTTACACTTCATTAACACCATCCTTACCATTTCCCAAAACTGCTCTCGGATATAAGTGGGCTTAGACATGTCTGGGGCGTAGACCCCTAACACGAACAACTTCTTTAAGCCCACTTTCATTCGTATCCATAGCAGTCTTGGGCTTACACATTCATACTCTTTCACACATTGGCCCATTCTTTCTGAAAGGATGATACCTACTCCCTGGCATGCCCGCTCGATCTCGTCTACACCAGACCAGTATGCGGTATACATGCCATGTGTAGTGACATCCTTCCCCTTCCTTTTCGTCTCATTTACGCATAACACATCTATTCCTCTATCATACATCATATCGCATACTTCATCCATTTTATTATTCATTGCCCCACATACATTCAACGTAGCCAGACGGGCCTCTGCAATCCACTTTTCGCCTCTCCGGGAGACAGAACGTGACGGGTGGCGAACCTCGTCGCCGGTTTTCCTCCCGGAGATTCTTCGCACCCCTGCCCCATTAAAGGGGCGCCGGGAACTCGGGGCCATTTCCTTTATTTGGTTATTCATGGTGCGAAATATGGGGTAGTATATTTTACGCCGCTACCACGGCGTGGAGCCGAGTCTGTGCTATCGGCTTGTCGCTCATTTAGCACCACCCGGGGGACACGTGTAGGGTGGGCCTAGGAACAGGTGGTCAAAGCCTACGGACGCGAGCGAGTTTGTGTGTTTATGTTTCATACTGAATAAAAGAATAAAATACCTAAGAATCTAACTTAACTTAATTCGTAGGTCCCTTTATATTCTGATTTCCTTTATTCTTGGTATGAATCGTTTTTTACGTCTTCAGTCTTAATCGCTGAGCACCGGTTCGTGTAATGAAATATTATCACAAGATGTCCCTAAATACCGGCTCTAGTAACAATGACGTTGTTAATCTTTGCACGATAAATCAAACTTCGTCTATCTCGAATCATTCTCAGCTGATTACTTTTCTTACAAAAATCTTATTTGACTCTTAAATCAAATTAATTACTTTAAAACTAAATTTAAAAAATTTAAACTACCTGACTACCGGCCTTTGTGGCTTAGACACTGTAAATTTAAATAAATTTGGCGAGCTAAATTATAACATTGTGTTTCATTTTAAAATCTTGACATATTTGCAGATGATTTTTATAATTTTAAAACGTCACCTATATTCGGATGAATTATTTGATAGACTTCAAATGACGTTTATTCGTAAAGGCTTTTAAGATGTGCAGAAAGTTATTGTATACACGTGACTCAGGATTAGGATGTTTTATGGGGAAGGCCTATGTTCCCCATCAGACTTGTGAAGGGTTGATGAAAGTATAACAAATTTCAGCACGATAGAAAACAATGAAGAATGACGTGATTGCACTTTGACGGAAGGTACCGTTCATTAGAACGGTACCTTCCATCAAAGTATTTAGTAACAAAATATTTGAAGGTTATGGACGAATACACATATTCCAGATGGGGTCCGGAGGCACTCACTTGTATGATGAGTATAGTTTAGCGTTGAATCCCACACAACCTCAACCATGCTCAGAAGCAGGCAAGCGCGGAATTGTACCGTGACATGATTACTATATTTGAAGTAGGCTGGTCTCAGCATGTTTACGGTATTATTAATAATTTAGAATTGTGCATTATTTTATACCATGTAATTAAAAAACCAGCTAAACGAGTTACAGTTTTCATCGCCCGAAGATGCGCAGACATCGTTCGTGCAGGTCGTAAAAGGGGTGTTAGAGAAGGATTGGAAAAAATGTTTCTAAAATTGGTTTAGCAGCATAAAACTTTGCATTGATTTTAGTGGAGAAGTCTACAAAAAATTTGTTGTTTTTTTTTAAATTTCTCCCATGTATTAGAGTAAAACGCCAAAAGTCCACAAGGTACGTTGTGGTATATATATACGAAATGCAAGTTCATAAGGTCCATTTCTATACATTTGAGCTTACATGGACTAGTTAGCGGGAGAATAAGTAATTCTTATATCGATAGCTTTTACATTAGTTTAGGGATTGAGGTTTAAACCTACAATTATTGCATAATTTCCCCCCACCCTCCGAAGTTCTCCTACGGGTGTCCGTTGTCGATATCCATACAATTTTTTGAGTTATTTTCGTAATTTGGTCACGTACAAATATAATGTTTGCACGTGATACGGTTGCAAACTTGAAAATTATTTTGAAACTGTCATCATCATCATCATCATTACAGCCCTTCAAAAGTCCACTGCTGAACATAGGCCTCTCCCAAGTAACGCCACAAAGCACGGTCCTGAGCCACCTGCATCCATCGACTTCCTGCATGTCTTACCAGGTCGTCACTATATCTAGTGGGGGGTCGCCCTACACTACGCCTACCGGTACGAGGCTGCCACTCGAGAACCTTTCTTCCCCATTGGTTATCGGTTGTTCGAGCTATATGGCCGGCCCACTGCCACTTCAGCTTACTAATCCGTTGGGCTATGTCGGTCACCCTGGTTTGTTTGTTGTCAAGTTGTTTTGAAACTGTGTATGTTTAGATTCTAAAAATGAAGTAGAGCTATTGCTATCATAAATATATGTTTCGAAATTGAATAAGCTAAGACACTGTCTTAATATAAACTACATATTTAATAGTAATGTGTATTTAAGTCACTTTTAATACATTGCTTCGGTCGTATTGAAGTCGGTAGTACAAAATTTTTATTTTTACCACTTGCACAACTTTCCAGAACTTATAATAACTTTAACTATAACGACTTGATCGATTTAGACAGGGCCTGTTTACCCGCAGGCTGATAAGGCTAGAGCGTCGTCGCATATTCATAGTTAGCCTAGCGCAGTCAGTACTCTGAATCAGGCACTGGATAGGTTATATTTAAACAATATATTCGTTCAGCCGAAAAGATGGTCACAGCCTTGCTAGGAACCGATAGAATTGATAAAAGAATTTTTATTCAATATAGATTACACATACATAATTCTTATTAGATTTATTTTTCACACTCTCCACTAGTACGAAACAAAATTAGTAAATTATAAAAACACTACTATATTACGTAATTTTCATAAATGATTAAATATAATGTTAACGAGCGCTCATAATATTATTAACGTATATTACAACGAACTTTTCCTTCAACACAACGAGCGTGTCGTTCATTGACTATATTGAAATGTTCTTGTTATCCCAACTCCTTTTGCTGCCTAAGAGTTCATCTTGGTTTAAATAACACCCTTTTACTTTTTTCGCATAGCAGTACAGAAAAAAAAGAAGTAAAGAAGTTCTGCGATGAACCAGCAAGAAACCCAGCGCTTTTTTCCATCGCAACATTCCAAAATATACACGGTTGTACAATTATTTACAACGCTAGTACAATAAACAGCTTGGAAGGGATCGTTTCATTCCCT